AGAGTCAGTGAACGCACCACAGTCAGTGAACGCACCACAGAGAGTCAGTGAACGCACGAGAGTCAGTGAACGCACCACAGAGAGCGTCAGAGAGTCATTGATGTATCTGTTGTTCCCTACAGGAAGGAGCGTCTGTTTGCATTACCTGATGACCCGGGTGTGGCCCTGCAGGGACGAGTGAATCTCTCCACAGCCGTCCTTCCACGAGTACAGATCCACGCGCTGGTTACTCTGAAAAGCACCCAGAAACACTCGTTATGTTGAGCATCAGATTCCTCAGTGTTTACTATTGATGGAAATCTGCAGAACTCACGGAGGCGGCGAAGACGTGCGCCTCGTCTCGATGAGGTTTCCACTGAACCGTCCCCACGTCCCACTTACTCTGACGCCCGATCTTCCTCGGCTGCTCGGACGGAGCCTCCAGGTTCACCATGTACAGGAAGCGCCGCCTGAGAGGCGTTCAGGGACACATTCCAGACGCTTTAGACTTTAGAGCAAACTGAGACATGATGTTTATTCTTAGACACGTTCAGGGACACATTACAGGCGCTTTAGATCAAACTGAGATATGATTTTATATCTGTGGTGCGTTCAGGTGCACAAAACTTACCCGGAAAGTACAGCGTGAGAACCCAGGCAGTCCACTGACATAGCGGTGGCCTGAAAACACAAGAAGAAGATAAATCTTAATTTGAACATAATTACATGCGTCAGATTATTGTTTAATGTTTTAATTAGTGAAGTTAAAGTAGGAATGGGGTGAAAATAAAATACTTCATTACTTAATTAAACGTAGTTTTGCAAACACCTAATAATAACTACAGCGTTTGAAAAAGTCACAAATTAAATTAACTCATCTGTTTGTCCTTACTGGTGTCATTTTCTGGTTGCTAACAAACGCCATTGTAACACATAATCACTGATGATCCGCTGTAACGGTGGTGGACTCATCAGAACAGAGTGGGCGAGCTGACCAATCAGAGCACAGTGGGGGGGGCAGGAGCTCCAACAAGCCGTGTAGGACAGAGAGTGAATCCACATACTATACAGAAATGCTGTTTGAGAAACCAATGTGAGTTTGGAACATTGAACAATATACATATATTCTAGTAGACCTCAACAATGGAACTATGATCAGTAGAAATGGCCATGACATGGGACCTTTAATATATTGAATAACACATATCTTGCACAATAATATCCTGCATTATATTTGTTACTGGAAATGTGTATTTCCACATGTATATAGCCTATATTTTTTTAGAACGCTGTTTCATTTCTATTTCAGAAATAATTTGGATTGTTGGAGTGTCTTATTTTTTATGCTGTAATAATTTCCAAATAGGGATCAATTAAGTACTTATCTATCTATTTATATATCAATCTATTTATCTATCTATCTATCTATCTCTCTATTTATCTTTTTATCTATCCATCTATTTATCTATCTATCTATCTAAAAACTGTAATTAAGTGTAAATGAACATTGAAATTGAAGCAAAACTCAAATGAAAGTGTGTTTAAAGTAAAGTATTCAGGGAGTAAACTGTGAGGATGTAAAGTGGTTCTCCTTGTGCTCCTCTTTCGGTATCTTTAGTTTAATAAGGTCGTTTTAATACCTGAGCATCTCGAAACTCCACCACCACATTCTCGCTGCTCCAGCGCGCCGCCATCTTTCCGTTTTCTACCGTCAACAGAGCGTCACGTGATTCTAATGTCACGTGACGCCGCGTTCACGTTCCCTGGGAGAGAAGACAATGATCATGAGAATTTTAGGAAAAAAAGATGATTCTGTTAACAAATAAAATAATTAATAATGATAATAAAAATAATAACAATAATAATATTAATAATAACAATGGAAATATTTATTGAATGAAAAATGTATTAATCATTGTAATGGTTATTTTTTAATAATTATTTATATGTTTAACTTATTCACTTTATTTGTATTTAATAATATTTTCTAATATTTTAAGTTTAATTTTATATTGATCAGAATAAGAACTATTACGTTTATCAGCGGAGAATCATTATTTCCTTTTTTAAATGTTGTTTCTCCGAGTGTTCCTAAGTGTCTGAACGCATCATATTTCCTCTCTTCTGATTGGTCGGCCCAGTTCTCCGTCACAGATCCAAGATGGCGCCTACCTTGGTTGCGCATGTTGTCGCAGACGCAGGAGCTTTTCTGAAGAAAGCTCCTCTCCAGGTGAGAATATGCTTCATATTAATATATAAAATGCACCTGTATAAAGAGAGCAGACCCCCGGGGGGGATGGGGGGAAACGGGAGGAGAGGGGTCCCTTCTGAGGCCGGAGAGAGAGAGATAAAGGCCGCAGAGCGAGAAGAGGCGTGGGGGAAACAGAACAGAATAAACACTAAAACAGACTTTATTTTAATATATTTCTCTTTGTAAACAGGATTTATTGTTATTTACAAGTCTGTAAGTAAATCAGTCAACATGCGTGTTTACATATGACGTCACAGCAACAGAGAGGTCTAAATCCTCATCATTAAAAATAGTTCCATTTATTTATTTTATGACTATGTTTAACTTTATACCAGATTTAAAATGTTGACAAGAACAAAAATATTTTTATTTAACAAAATCCGTGTTTACATACATGACGTCACAACAACAGAGCTGTACATCTTCATCATTTAAAATAGTTAATTAATGAACTAGTATTACTTATAAAAATGAAACATTTACTTTTACCAAAACACAAACAGAGATTTTACATTTAATTAAGTTGTGAAAATACTTAAAGGTCCCATGTCATGCTTTTCTGGTTATTACCCGTCCCCTTGAGTGTTATGAAGGTTTTAAACGGTCTGCTGCAGAGTCAAAAACCCTCAAAGTACACCCTGTAGCGAGTACAACTCTAACGCAGAAAAGGGGCAGGAGCTCCAACAAACCGTGTAGGACAGAGAGTGAATACACATACTACACAGAGATGCTGTATGAGAAACCAATGTGAGTTTGGAACAATGTAAATCTATTCTAGTATACCTCAACAATGGAATTATGATCAGTAGAAATGGCCATGACATGGGACCTTTTAAATTACATGAAGAATTGTTACTGATGAATCTGCATCGTGAGCATTTTATTGAGGAACAGGAGGATGATTTATTTTATTATTATTATTATTAACAGGGTTTATTATTATTTACAAGTCTGTAATCAATCAGTCAACATCTGGGTTTACTTCCATGACGTCACAACAACAGAGAGCTCTAAATCCTCATCATAAAAGTGTATTTATTTTTAAATTTTTAAGTTTTGTATCATTTGAATATGTATAAACATGCCCCATTCATATTTAAATACATTTGTTTTAGGTTGAAAGTGTTATTGTGCCTTTGTCTGTAAATAGTATGCTGAACAAATTCAATTAAAGGGAATTAGACTAGTCTGTCAGGTCTTTATTTTCCTTTGTCTTTCCTTTTTAAATTCTTTATTGTTTTGTTCTGCAGGAGATCGGCAGCACGATCTACACCCTGAAGGACGTGGTGGACGAGATCAGAGACAAACCCACGAGGAGGAGTTTAGCTTTCCTGCCGTACCACCTGACCTTCAGAGAGCCGCACCCCGAACACATCAGACACGGTAACAAACTGTCCCTGAACACACCACACACTGACCCTGAACACACCACACACCGTCCCTGAACACACCAGACAAGTTAACAAACTGACCCTGAACACACCACACACCGTCCCTGAACACACCAGACACGTTAACAAACTGTCCCTGAACACACCACACACTGACCCTGAACACACCACACACCGTCCCTGAACACACCACACACCGTCCCTGAACACACCACACACCGTCCCTGAACACACCAGACAAGTTAACAAACTGACCCTGAACACACCACACACTGTCCCCGAACACATCAGACACGGTAAACACAGCGTCCCTGAACACATCAGACACGGTAACAAACTG